AGAAGAGAGAGAGAGAGAAGAAAAATAAAATAAATATATATATATATATATATATATATATATATATATATATATATATAAAAAAAAAAGTACTAGTCCCTATCCACAACAGACCTTCGAAAGCTGTTCGCCGAAGAAAAGATTTCGATTTATAGTTTCTTACATTACATCCGAGCGATTAACCTCTAACGATTTCAACGGCGTCGTGAGAAGGACACGTGGTACATGATTGGGGGCTCGCCCAATCGTAGATCAACTTTTGAAAATGAAATGTCGAAAGGACGACAAATATCGTTATATAAAATAAATAACGATCATCCGATGATCGTCTAAGATCGTCACTCTTTTAAACATCACAGATGTGTCGCGAACATCTCACGACAATATTCGTATCGACTGAACGTTGTTGCACATGACAGCGGGTGAAAGAACGACTGAGACAGAGTCTCTGATGTCTAGGTTATGTCGACGATATTCCTCGACTCTAGCCATTTGAATAGCATTTTTTCCTATACAAGTATAAATGAACGAAAAAACGATAATAACGATGCAAATGAAGAAACACAACGAAGAACAGATCTTTCTCTCGAGGGTTAGTCACTACGACGGGGCAGCACTGTCCAAAGCACTGACAAGCAAACCAAAACACAGAACGGAGCGAGTCAGCCGAGAGAATCATCCGGCACGGATCCTTGACGTAATCGAGGCTTCAATCGACCAAAACACAACACTCAAATTTACCTAATACTTCGAGGAATAACTCGTTGACACAAGAAAACCACTAAAGCGACGCTTGCTGGATTTAATACATAGTGCTTTCGCAGAAGACACTAGACACAAGAGACTCCGTCGCTCTATTTTCACACGGCACACGCACAGCACAAGATTTTCGCGATTTTGACTCGAAAGAGTATTTGTTTCGTAACTGACGACACTCACCGGGATGTTTATTGGCGATCTTATTGAAGCAGTTTTGAAAGACCTCGTAGAGATGCATCGGCTCGTCGTCGCTGGCCGCCATGTTTTCACGAGACGAGAAAACGAGTGGATGTCCGTGGTTGAGGCGAGTGGGCACGGTTTCGCGGTGTGGCCGCGCGTGGAGCCACCCTCCTCCAGAAACGGTCACACACACTACTGAACCACGCCGCCTCACCGATGCGGCTCTTATAGTCCATCAGTGGCGCCACTCTTCCTTGCGTTGTCGCTACGCGGCTACTTTGAATATCATATTTTCCTCATTCGATACCTTCGCAAAAATGTGTTTATCGTTAGATCAAATGGATGTGTAAAATTGCTATTATTATTTTATTAACTTGATTCAATAATTATCATTCTTTTTTTTATTAGTTAGGAGAACAATTATGATTTACTTGTAATAAAAAATAAATATTTTCAATTTAATAAATTTAAAGATTATATATCCATAAAAACCTAAGGAATTCGGGCATTTTGTTACAGTGAAGATTTTTATTCACATGTTGCGAGTACATAATAGATTTGACGTATGAAACGTATAATTAAATTATTATTATTATTATTATTATTATTATTATTATTATTATTATTATTATGTTGTTATTATTCTATATTTCTTTGTATATTTTCACGTTTCGATATAATGTTATTCGCATATTTATATACATAAAATTGAGATTTCTTTCTATTTTGCATTGTTAATCGATATTGAAATTCCGGATATATACAATAAATAAAATAAATTTTAATATCATGATTATAGATGCGCGTACTTCTTACGAAGTACTACGAGAAATATGATAATGAAATCGCGTAATTTTCGACGTATCGAACTTTAAAAACATCATGTTGTATTTTTAAACTCCAGCAAAATCGGAATTTTGTGGAATCGGATGAGATATGTCCTCGTAATCCTGTCGACCAAAGCCTAGAATAGAAAAACGTTCATGAACGTCTGTCCCCCATCCCCATTAAAAATTATAAATCATATGTACAAAAGACGATGAAACAACATAAAACATTACAAGATGGTTGTACATAAAAATCGTGCATCACAAATGATCTATCCTCATCGTGACAAGCATTATGATGAAAAATAATATTCCTATATATATATATATATATATATAATATTTATATATACAATAATTTAAAACAATTGCTATGCAATCTAATATGCATATTTGAAAAATGATTTCATGCACCTACTTAAAGCATAATTTTGAAGAAGCAATGCAGGTCTACAAAACATCTTTATCCAATGTATTACTGACCCATTGCAGGATTTGTAGTGAACATTGTGGCTAAATATCCACCTCTTGTTTGGCCTATTCGTAGAAGATATATGCTTGTGATGATGCGAGCAATCATGTTTAAGATCATAATCGCTGCACTAAACTTCTCAGATGCATCTACAAGTTTGTGCGATCAGATAGATACATCTTCTGCATAGGAAGGTTAATCGACAATATAATTTGGAAAATTTTAGGTTAGTTCTCAATTCAATAGTAGATAGCACTAACTTACACGTTGGTGGAAAATAGACTGCTAATGTTACTACATCAAAAAATATGGAAAGTACATTTATAAAAAGTGCCTAAAATATATAATTCTATTACAAACACAACAATTAAAATTAAAATTATATACAGATAACATATTTCAACAACCAAATGCTTACAAATTGTAGAGGTTCATCTGATTCAATATTATGAATAGCCCACAATAAGCAGACGAAGAAAAGGAAATTGTAAAACATTACAGATTTTGGACACCAATGTCCCTGAATGCCCCTAAAAATTTATTGTTTAAGTATATAGTACAAATATGACATTCCATACAAGATGTGATTCACAATATGTATTTTTAAAATTATGCAGACTAATATACAATAAACAAAAAATTTATTCTTACCATGTTACTAGGACTAAATGAATTGCAAATATCACCTGAAAAAATCCGACAAGATCATAAAAAATGATCTTAAAATGCAAAGTAAGTTGGATTTTTAAGCAATGATGTTTCGAAAATATATTTGCAATATTATAAAAATTGTCTTGATACGAGAAATTTGTCAAAACAAATTATTCTTTCATTGCCGTGCCCTTATATAATTATATTTTATTCATTGGGAAACATAGTCGAATGAACTACGCAAAAGCCTTCTTGAAATATAATTATTATTTTTTTAGAATTAGAATTATCCGATATCTGTTCTCATAAACATGGACATTGAGATATCCGATATATCATATATTCACCACGGAATCGCGAGAGCCAAAAGCGATAAGCAAAAAGGAAGATATAATAAATATATGACGTGCAACGAATTATATTTTAAATAAAAAAGCAAATAATTCTAGAATAGAATATTCTAAAAAAATGAGCAAAATAACGAAGGTCCAATGAAATTTACCTTTAAGGGATAATGAGATATACTAGACATATCCGGCATTTTTTAACCTTCGAAATTTTTTCAAACTTGACCTGAAACTATTTCGACTTCTTTTACAATAATTAATATCAATTATTTGTTAATCGAAACACGCCTAATGATTCACAAATATGTATCAAAATATATTTTTTAAACTTCTTCCTTCGCTTAAACGTTCCATCAATACAACACAAAACGAATACTGCGTATCATATGTCTATAGTCTATAGACATCTACGAAAAGTGTATGATTCAGCGCCATCTATGAAGCAAGAGATGAACAAATTATTCGAATTTAACCTTTTCTTCAATTTTTATATTTCGATATTCATAATTAAATTGAAAAAAAATAAAAAATTTAATCTTAACGATTAACAAAAATTTTGTTTTTTTTTATATTCTGATTAATAACAAATAGAGAAATTAAATAATTTAATTTAAATTCTAACATATGTTGATTGACCTTTCCTGACCTGAAAAAAAAATTATCTGCTTACAGTTCTTCGATAAATCCTATGCTGCAATTAGATTACTGTCTTCGTGTACTAAACCAGCTGTTGATCTGTGAATAACTTCATTGAGATGGTAGTGTCCATAAAATAGGGAAATAATATATGTTATAACGTGCTTAAAGTATAACGAATATAATACTTACGTATACATTGTGATTCATAAAATTTGAGCGAAAGAAGAATCGATAAAAGAATATGTTAAGTAAAGGAAATCTTTTTATAAAGAATTTAGGCTGTACCATAAGAACGTTGCACAATAAAGCAGTTGTTATTGGTAATGTACAAAATACCAAATGTTCGACGTATCAGGTTAGAACGATATTATATATGTGTGTGTATATCCATTTCATTTATAAACAAAACATCGCAAGATTTAATTCGTTAAATCTTTCGTTTTCGATCAATATTACATTATTAATCTAAAATGAGTTGATGAAATATTGCATAATATTAATATTACGATATTTTCCATCATTATCCAAACAAAATAAAATAAAAATTGTTCGTTTAAACGTATTAAAGCGTAATATACGCCTGCGCAATTGACGCACAATGATTAAGCGCGTATTACAAACACTGAATATATTACTCATGTTCTTTTTCGATAAAAAACAAAACGATTAAAAATAAGTGGGGACGATATTTGGAATAAAATAATAATAAATAGAAATAATAATAATAATAATAATAATAAATATAGAAACGAATAACGGAGATTAAACATATAACGACAAATTTTTAGGAAAATTACGTTCAAATGGAATGTGCGGTGAATAGATTGAAAGGCACAATTCAAAAAATTGTAGAGGGTGGGAAACAAAAGGCGAAAGAGAGCCATATAAAAAAAGGAAAGCTTCTAGCACGAGAACGAATTAATACGCTTCTCGATCCGACGTCCCCTTTCCTCGAATTTTCTCAATTAGCTGGTTACGAATTGTACGATAAAGAGGAAGTACCAGCCGGTGGAATTATTACCGGTATCGGTAGGATAGAAGGGTAAGTACCGTTTGAATAAAAAAATGATTCGTATAAAATATTTTTTTTTTCTTTTTTTTAAAGAAGAATACGTTTCGTTTCGAAAATTAGGACCGAATGCGTAGTAATCGCAAACGATGCAACCGTAAAGGGAGGTACTTATTATCCGATAACGGTAAAGAAGCAATTAAGGGCTCAAGAGATTGCGGAGGAGAATAATTTACCTTGTATATATTTAGTAGATAGCGGTGGCGCCAATTTGACTAAACAAGCTGAAATATTTGCGGATAAAATGCATTTCGGTAGAACTTTCTTTAATCAGGCAAGAATGAGCGCGAAAGGGATCGCGCAGATCGCGGTAGTAATGGGAAGCTGCACAGCAGGTGTCCGATTTCTTGATTTTTTGATCCACTCTTGCCCCATTTTATTGTATTACTTTCATATCAATTATTCGCGATATTATTAACGTCATTTAATCGATTTCTATTCCAGGTGGTGCATACGTACCGTCCATGGCTGACGAAAATATAATCGTCGGCAAGGAGGGAACCATTTTTTTGGCTGGTCCACCATTAGTAAGAGCTTCCACGGGCGAAGAAGTGACCGCGGATGAATTGGGTGGCGCGAATCTTCATTGTCGGTAATTGGGGAAAATACCATTTTTTAATCCGTCATTTCCCCTCGAATCGACTCGAGAGAATTTGGAAAATCGTTGTTCTCAGGGTTTCCGGAGTAACCGATCATTACGCCGTAGATGACATTCACGCTTTGTTCCTAACCCGGCAAATCGTGAAGGATTTAAACAGGCAACGACCAATGCACGTTAACGTGGATAAAAATGTGGATGTACCGTTACATCCCGTCGACGAAATTTACGGAATAGTCGGTTTGAATTGGAAACAGTCGTACGACGTAAGAGAGGTGATCGCAAGGATCGTGGATGGATCAAAGTTTCGCGAGTTCAAAGCGCAATACGGGGAAACATTGGTCACAGGATTCGCGAACATTTATGGTTATCCCGTGGGTATAATCGCGAACAACGGTATACTGTTTTCGCAAGGCGCGTTAAAGGGTACACATTTCGTGCAGATCTGCGCACAAAGGAAAATACCACTTATTTTTTTGCAGAATATTACAGGTATAGTATAATATTCTGGTTGGACAAAATTGCAGCATTCCGATGATTGTACAGTGATTGTAAAAAAAACTGCAGGATTTATGGTGGGCAAAGATGCCGAGGCCGGAGGCATTGCCAAAAACGGTGCGAAAATGGTGACTGCCGTGGCTTGTGCTCAAGTGCCTAAAATTACAGTGGTAATTGGTGGCTCGTTCGGCGCGGGAAATTACGGTATGTTACACTTAATAAATCACCGTTCGAACTTGCACTGTTCAATTTGATTAAATTTAACGTGCAGGTATGTGCGGTCGGGCTTATTCACCGAGGTTTCTCTATACCTGGCCGAATGCCAGAATATCCGTGATGGGGGGCGAGCAGGCTGCCGATGTACTCGTTCAAATTAGCAAGGATCAACGTAAACGCGAGGGGAAGCAGGTAGGAGGCATGACAGATTATCGATTTCGTTTCGTTCGAACGTACCGGTGTATATAAATTTTCACTCGATCCTCGATAGTGGACCGTGGAAGAGGAGAAGAAACTGAGGGAACCAATACTGAGGAAATTCGAAGAGGAGAGCAATCCATATTATTGCAGCGCTAGGTCTACAATCTACGCATTATTATTAGACTAAGAGACTAGGAAATGTTTGAGTTATGTATCCGCGTTAATTATTTTTCAGACTTTGGGACGACGGCGTGATCGACCCCGTCGACACTCGAGTAGTGTTAGGACTCAGTTTATCAGCGGCGCTCAACGCGCCTATACCAGAAACTAAATTCGGGATTTTCCGAATGTAACATAATTCTCGATACGATGGGAGGAAATTTTGTGACCTGAAATTATGAAAGCACGATCCAATATTCGTTCTCTTCTGCCCGATATTTTACGCCAAACACGTGTAAATATATATATATTTTTTTATACATTGTTCTATCACACGAACATTCCACAAAATATATATATATATAGATAATACCTTTGTATTGTTTCTATGCTTATTTTTATTAATCTTCTCTTCTCTTCTCTTTACTCGACTAAAAAATAAAGACGCCTCTCCGAACGAAACGCTGAATACGCGCGTTTCCACTTCGCTCTCTTACTTTTCTCTCTTATTTTTTTTTTTACATTTTATGCGCGTATATTCTTCCTTATTACAATTATTATTGAGATTATAGCAGCAATTAATTCGCTTACAATTGTCTAACAGTTAAGTGACATCACGTTGTTACAGCTCGTCGCGCGACTAGGTCATCCGACATTCTCCGCTCGCAAAGGCCAACTTTTTCTTTCTGGTACGATATAGCGGCTGTATTACTTTATTCGCGGTTATTCGCAGGGAAGCACAGTGGGACGATTAATGAAAAGAGTGGAGTGGAAAAAAAAAAAATTTGGCGGTCGCAGAGCGGAGAAATTTCTTGAGCAGTGAGTGCTTAATATTAATATCCAAAATCTTAGCGATCATTCCCCCCTATTTTTTTTTTTTCTCTTACGATATTTCTTCGATACAACTCCTCGAACTGTTTCTTTATTAATTCGTTCCATTAACACTATCCGAGATAATACATCGTCCGTTGATGAGAAGCTTAGCAATTTCGGACAATGTTATTAGAAAGATCGATGTTTCGTTCTTCTTTTTTTTTTTTTTCTCCTTCCGTGGAAAAGGGAAAAAATTAACTACTAACGCATCCGGCTCGAAATTCGATCGGTCTGTCTCCTCCACGATGGACGCGCTCGAATCCTTGGTTGGCCGGTTTTCTCAATTCTACTTTCTATTTACAATCAAAAAAAAAAAAAGAAACGATCGTCGGATCGTCCCCCTTCGTCTGTTCGGCTTTTTATAAAAATTTGCAGAGACAGAGAAGAAGGAGGATAGAGGGCAAGAGCTTTGTCGAGTCGCGGCAGGCCGAGGAGCCGTTCATCTCCGTCTCGGTAACCTTGTACTTGAACTGCTCCTTCACTTCCTGCGCGATGAAAGCCCTCTCCTCCGTCCTGATCGTGGTCGGGCCAGCTCGATCCCTCACCTCCTCCGCGATCACCGCCCTCGCCTTCGTCCTGTTCTTCCCTCTTCTCACGTACAATTCGGACAGAGCTGCGGGACAAATTTTATTGATAATTCGAAACGAAATCTCCTTTTTTATCGATCATACTTACCTTTATCGATCACCGCGTCCTCCTCGAAGTCGACTTTAATAAGAGCGGACATGGTCACCTCGAACAGCTTGTTGTTCTCCGTGTTGGAGACATCGATGGCCCTCCTCCTCCTACCGAATCCAATTTGGCCGTTGCTGCACTCGATCTGAAACACGGGGCGGGTAAACGATCCGTATATTCGAACGGTTAACGAGGTGCCACGCGTGTGCAACATTGACATACCCCTTGGCACTTGTCCAGGCAGACGTTAACAGTGCCGCGGAACTGGACGTAAGTGCTTTCTGGAAACTTGAAAGCGCGGAATTTCGCCGTCAAAAAGTCACCGTCCACCGTGTTGAAATTCTCGAACAGATACGGATCCACGGAGCAACTGAACCATTATTATTATTATTATTATTATTATCGTAAAAATTATTCTCGACCAGCATATTCAATATATTCGCTCACCCATTGATTATGATAGTCTCCTCCTGCGATTTGGTGTCCGTTACGAGCATGTAGGTGACCAACAATCCGTAAACGGGCGCCGACCCGTTGTCCAAGAAGATCTCCATCTGCAGAGGCGTGCCCGGGCTGACGTTCAGCTCGCCGGTCACCAGATTCCCGCCTTGCCTCACACCGACCCCCAATATCGGTACAGGCGCCGACTCGGAGATCTCACCTCTGATGTCGATCACGCTGCGCCAATCAAAACGTTAAGATGCGTCGTTCGAAACGAATTGTCGAGAACGAAACGCCAACGCCATCTGGCGGACGGAACCGTAAGGGAGGAACGAACGCGCGTTCGAATGTAATTTCCGCGGAGGGAGGGGGGAAGAGAAAAAAGCGGCGGCGAATATTCAAGTGGTCGTCGACGAAATTAACACGGACGTTTGCAGAGGAACGGGAACGGAAAGAGCTGTTGCATGTGCTGCTACGACCTGGGCCACTTTCGACAGTCATCGAATCGACCTGAATCGTCTTTCTTTGAAACCGTCTTTCTGCCGGCTCATCCACGATACTCTCTGTACGGGAGGACGAGCCACGTGAACGGTACCGCTAAAGACGGTAATGATGATGATGATGACGACGACGAAAAGAAGAGAAAAGAGAGGAAAAAAGTAGGGACGACGATAAAGTTTCCGTTCGTCAATTCGATCGTTTTTTATCGATAATCGTATTCGCATCTGTTCGCATGGATCGAAGGGAGGAGAGGCGAGTAGTATTTTCGAGTTCGTCGATCATCCCTCGATTCGACCGCGTCGATGGAGGATCCGATCGAGCAAGCGCGCAATTCCATCGACTTCTTGGAAGAAGGAACAGTTATCGAGATCGAGAAAGAATTTTCCCGCGGCGCGTGCCTCGACCCCGCCGATCGATCGGGCGAGATAACCGCGTGATAATTCAACAATAAGGATTTTACGGCTTCCTGGTTGGAAACGCGACATCGACAATCCTCCTCTTCCCTCCCCTCCTCAAGTATCTCCCTCGTACGATACTCGCGCAATACCGTGCCACGATCGATTAGTGTCAATAAATTAGCGGCGGGAGCGGGAGAAAAATTGCGTTGTGTGTACGTACTCGGCTGGCAGGCTGCCAGGAGGATAGCAGCGCCGCGGAGCGGGGAAAGAATGTCGACCGGCCAACCTCGGAAAGACTTTCATCCGCGTGGAAAGTAGCGTGGAAGAATCCCTTTTGACACGCGTCTAACTTGTCGCTTGCTTAAAATTTACTTCCCGCCGCGTCGCTCGTTTCAAGGCTGAGATAGAGATAGGGACAGAGGAGTATTCATCGATTCAACGAGTATTATACGCTGAATATATATATATATATATGTACGTATGTATATTTGATCTGTTGGGAGATCTCGTTTGAAAAAAAATTGTAACCTCGAAACCGTTTCGAAGAGATCGTTAGCGACTCTTAAGCACGCATTTGCATGTCGCCGAGCGAATAAAAGAAGATTCTCGTCGGATGCTCGCCCGCTAGTTGAAACGTTTTACCGAGGAGAACGCGAACGGGGAATACGAATGGCTCGCAAAGTGAGTTTTATCGAGCGAGCGGGGGGCAAAGGAGGAGGGGGAGGAGGAGGAGGAGGAGGAGTAGGAAGAAATAGGGAAGGGGAAGACTCTGTGACGCGATGTATACGAGGCTAAAATTACATTTCAGGTTTTCCAGCACCTGCGCGTACAGCCTCGACAAATAAATGGAACGTGGAATCATGAATCAACTCGGTCGACAAAACGTTCATCTTCGTTTCGGATCGCTCATTTGCATCGGAGGAAAAGCATAAACTCGATACTCGATTTATTCGCGACACCGGCTCCTTCCACTTTCCAATTTCGAATTATATGGTGATTATTTTCGTCGAGCGTAAAAATATACGATTCGATTTTAATCTCGCGGAAAACTTGCCTTGTTTCGATTACGAAGTCGCGCGACATTTTGCCACACGATAATAACCGCGAAGCGGGATAGTTAGTAGCAGATTAAACTCATCTCGTTTTACTTACTTGCTTACATAAATCGAGACCGATTTTTTTTTAATTAATCAAGTTTACACAGCCAGCGTTGAAACGTTGATTACGCGATCGTTGGAAAGCTTGGAATAAAATTATTTCACCGCGCTCGTTCGCTTGGAAAGTTTCGATCGTTGGAAAAAAGAAAAAAAAATCATCGAAAAGCGTAACGCTTCGAACGAGTAGATAGGAGTAATGGATGAAAGTTTCAAAGATAATTTTAGCCGTTATTTCTTGGCGCTAGTCGAAGCGTATTAGAGGTGGGTTGTCCTTGATGATGAGAATACGTGAGCGTTGCGCGGACGATCGTTTGAGCACGATCGTTGGAACAGCTGTTGGAATCGCGACGGCGAATAACGCGAAATCGAAACAGTGGTTCTCTGTCGATACGAAGAGAAGGTGAGAACGGTAAGGGAAAAGTGCGAACAGATAAAAAAGAGAGAAGATAAGGCGGAAACTGAATATTAAGGTAAAATATGAACTCACTCGGGTTCCTGGAAACCTGCTGGTAGAACGCTCCTGCGAACCACGGTGTGATTGGCTGCGATCGAGATTCCAGGTTTCACAACGACCTCGGTGATAACACACTTTACGGTGAACGTGTGCTTGCTGGAATCCGCGGGCTCCTCCACTATTATCCGATGAAAGTACACCTTCTGACCCTGTATATCATTACACGTATATCTATAATTTTGCTCGAATCCACGGGATTCCTTCCCATCGATCGAAACAATAACGAAGGCCGAGCCGAGGTAACAACTTATCGCTATCGATTTTCATCCTTCCCTCCCCCCTTTCTTCCTTTTGCCCAAAGATTCGACCCTTCTTCGAACGCTCTCCCTTACGCTATCCCAACCTCGATTCGATCCTCGAGCGAAATTGTAATTATTCGAATTTCAAGAAAGGATGGTTTTTTCTTTTTTTCAGATTCGTCGCAATTACCGTGACTTTGTTAACGACCCTGGTGATGCCGCACCGCAGCATGTCCTCCTCTAGGAGAGGTAATCGGAACGTGGCGACACCGTTGCTAAGCCGGGGTTTGCAAGCTTCGTCTGCAAGATACGCATAGCACGGTGTAAAATACGGCTTCTATATAATCTCTCGCCGGCCAACGATCTCGCAGCGGATCTCGCGAAACGAATCGATCTTTTTACCTGGAAAGTCCTTCATCTGTTGCAGGTATATCCTCGCCCGTGGGCTGCTCCTCACGATGTCCACTTCCATCCACTGCTCGGAACATCTCACTTTGCTCTGCACTGGAAACGAAACGAAAAATTCAGTCGAACTCGAGCCGCGTCGTTTTCGAAAAGAGGGAAGGGAATCTGGATGAGGGAAAAAGGGAGAAGGTAAACGACGCGAGGCTAACTTGCAGTATACCACGGTAATTGCCCCATAAAGTCGTAAACGTCTCTCGACCTTGAAATGCGAGCAACCCGGCATCGCGCGCTCGAGGAACCCGCACCACCGATGCGCATCCCTCGCCTCTCGTTTCCTTTCGCGGAACAACTGGTGGATAATACTTTCACCGTTCGCGGGTAAAAAAACCGTGTATATATACACCGATTCTACATTATCCCGACGCGAGAAAAACCTTTCATCCGGCTGTGAAAAACGAAATTGCTTCCTCCCCGGATAATTGAATTCTCATCACCATGAATTAGCGAAACAATACTTTTCGAGGAAGAATTCTGATTCTTGTCGATCTCGATAACAGCATGCTATTGAAGAATATTCTCGACTCGAATTTGGCGAATTCCGTGACTCGAGGAATAAGAATTTCGAATCATCCCTGAACAGAGACTCGAAACGAGTTCACTTGCACAATTCGTTTGTCCACGGTTTCCGCGCATCCATCAGGCCGCGATTAACGCGCAAATTACGTGACTGCACGGTGTGTGTCACTTTCAAATAGCCCCAGGGTTGGCGGTCTTTTCCATTAGCGAGTTTAAAGCGGTTCCCCGCAGCCGGTGCAACCACCTGTGCGATCGTCGAGCAGCCATCTCTCGACAAAGGTCCGTGACCTTACGCTTTTTTCTTCTTCTTCTTCTTCCTCTTTTTCTTCATTTTCGACCTCCGCTACGTTTTCCCCTACAACTCTTTTCTCGCTTCGTCTTCTCTTCGCTTCGTTTCGTTGCATTTGTCGTTCGCCTTTCTCTTCTGCTTCTTCTTTCGATTCGAACAAGTTCGAAATTCCCCTTTTTTCCTACGATCGAATTACTTCCTTCCAGTGCGACAAATTTTTAATAACCGTTCCAGCTTAAGAAATCTAGGGTTGGAGGACGACGATCGTTCAAGCGCACCGAGAAACTTCGACGACGACGATGAGTCGGAAGAATCGGCAGAAAGACAAGACAAGAGGTATCTAACTGAGACAAAAAAGGGGAAGAATTCATTGGCACACGTAATATTTATTCGAATCGATAGGGATCCATTATTCGTTTCGCCCGAAACGCCGCCGGAATTCTCCGTTCCGGGAACGGATTCTCGACCTACGTGACCCTTGTACCTTTCCCTTTATTATCATTCTTCCCGAGTTCCCTTCCTTCCTTCGATCCCTTCCTTTCTCCTCTATCTCTCTCTTCCTTTCCCCTTCCTTTCTTCACCATTCCGTCCTACTTCCACCCGCGATTAAGATCTCGGCAAAGTTTACAATGCCAAGTTTCAAAGCCCGACCTTTGCCCTCCCGCTAATTGCACTAATCTTTTCTTCCTTTCCATCCGCTCGATTCGTCCGATACCACTCGGATATTATTAAGATCGAAAGATGAATCGAAATCTCGCTGTCCTTCCCCGCGTGATTATCTTCCCCGTCTCTCTCTCTCTCTCTTTCTCTCTCTCCTTCCTCCAGCACCGAGGAAGGCGAGAAGAAATTGATGCAAATTACGTAAGGAAACGTAAGGGAATCCTCGGGGAATTACAATAATCTCGGCCTGTTGTTACACGAGCTCGGTGTTAAGGGGAAGGTAATTACGCGTTCGTGGCAAGGATCAAGGACAATCCTGTATGGGTGGGATAGATGCGAGAGGAAATTGATTCGTATCGCAACCCCCCTGAAAACACGCGGATAGATAGAACGTCTATCGTCCAGTCTCTGAATAATTTATAGGGGGGAAAGGATGCGTGTATCTATACGACATATTTAAGAATCGATCCGATCGATACAATTTGAGGGACGGATGAATCGAGGAATGAATCTCGAGGAGGCGACCCCGTTTTTCCACGCGCAAGGCGGCCGACGCGAAAGGGAGATCGAGTCTTAAGGCGCGATTAACATTCACGTCCACGCCGTGTTAACTGTACAATCGAGGGACGAGGCGAGATGCAGTGGGAAATATCTGCGATTAAACTGGTCGATCGAACGGGGAATCGGCATAGGCGTAGGCGTGCGTGTAGCTGCAAGTTTTTGCTCAAAGGTCGCGTGTAAAAGTGTAGAAGAAAAAAAAAGGAAAACGATAACCGAATCGTTCCTATCGCGCGAGTTATAGAGTGTATCTCGAGTTATAGTATTTTTTTGTAATTACGGTCGTTTTTATCGGAAGGGATCGAGAATCGATCGCGATAGCTTCGTGTTGCGGAATAACAACCGTCGTTGAAATTGCTTCGATCGATCAAGAGGATGCGAGAGAGAGAGAGAGAGAAAGAAATCACTTTTGAAAAGGTGATTACTGAACTTTCCAACAACGAGGGCGACTGCTTTGGTTGGCAAACCGAACTTTGATACGATACCACCGTTTTCAAGATCGAGATTCCTTCGAGTTTTTTTTATCACGACTTCCGGCTGCAAATCGATTTTACTCTCCAAGTTACGACAAGCGGTTACCCGCTGTACGAGTTTCGAGAAGGTTATAACATCGTTGAAACGAGCCGCGTCGATCGATGCTTGAAAAATTGAAATACGCGCGATAATTGATCGCCGCCTTTTTTCTCGTTTTAATTTTCGAAGGGATCCGCTCCGGTGACCCTCGGTCGAGATAAAAAAAAGAAGAACGGTTAATTAAACACCCACGTTTTTATGCAAATAAATTCGCCACACGCGTCCCACCAACGAGCAGCCTCGGTAATTCAAACGTCACCACTGTACATAATTCAATTACTACTCCGCGTTGTCGTTCCCCGATCTCCACGCGCCGACGCATGCTTATTTTCCCCTTTAACGATATAACAGCCGTTGCACACCACCACCTCGCCGCTCGGTCTTGCGAAAAGAAAGAAAGGGAAGAGAAAAGAGGAGAAAAGAAAATGAAAAAAAATTGCCACCGCAATCCCCAACCAGGGATCCGCTTAAGGATTAACCGTTGCGAATGATCGCCATCTCCCATCCTCTCTTCTCTATTTTTCCCCTCTTATTATTATTATATCCTCCTCGATATAAGATCCGAGGGATCTTGGCGAAGAGTCGCCGGTGGCGTTGCGTGGAACAGGATCGAAAGTTGGTAATCGATCGGTAAGCGAAGGGGGAGGGCAGGCTGGCCGAGTGATAAAAGGGGAGCGGGCGAGAGGTAACGGTGATTTCATTCCGGTTCGCTCCTTTGGCCACGCCGCATCGCAACAACCAGCGGTAAATCACCGATCGTCGCCGTGGCGATCGTTAGCGGTCGATTCGTGGATCTATCCCTCTTATCTTCCTTGTATCCGAGCTAAGAGATCTAAATTTCTCTTCTTCCCTTCCGATCGATAGAGCGAAGGAAAATATCGGGCCGGTTCTCCTCTTAATTCGAAGATGGCGAATCGCTTGTCTTCTCGTATCGAGGGTGTATCGATGTAATCGCTCGTATACTTTCGAATTCGTCGTCGTTTATATACATATATCACCGCTACTGTGCTCGCATGCGCCGGCGCGGAAGCGATCGATCGTGCATCGCGTACCAAGCTCGGCCATTTTACGAGCAGCACCGAGATCGCGGTGGAATCGCGGAGAGGCGAATACGGAACGGAATTGAACGTATCTTCGTCGAGTGGAAAATACGTTATTCGAAAATTATAGACGCGCAGTATCGATGGTGTTTTCCATCGATGGATTTCTCGAAACGTTTGTGGAGGTGTCGTCCATTTCCTTCCACGATTCGAAGAAATAATAATCGTGGATGCAAATGGACGCGAGTAGAGCCGGCGCACGAAACAGCGCAGGGACACAGGGAGCAAGGTGCATCGCGCGCCACCAAATGCAGGATGAATAATTTATCGTGGCGGCGATCCGTGCACAAATTATGCGCGCGGCCGACCGATTACCGTTATGCACATTTTCGGTAATCTCGACGACGATTAAATCGACGCCGCTCTCGGCGAACACCGGCCGCTCGATTATTCCAACAATTTTACGCCTCGAGTCGCCGGTGCATAAAACGTTCACACGCGTCGTTACGCGGCAGTTCGACGCGCATAATATAGATACATTTTTCCAATCTCTATGTATATATATATATATATATATATATATATTATATTTCGTCGTCTACGTTCTCTTCGTTCGTTCCGTGGCGAGAGAAGGAATTTCGTTTTTCCTTTTCTCCTTCCGTCGGATAGAAAGAGAAACGGCAGATCGTATCGATCGCGCGACCATACGATGTACGTGCTACAAGTCTATCTCTCTCTCTCTCAGTCGCGAAGAAGTTATACCAGGAAGAAAGAAGATCTCTTTGTCGTTCTTCTTCAAAGAGGATGTATTGTCGTATCGTCATCGACGGTCGAGATATCGAATCGGGTTGAATCTCTATCCCCCCAGGGCGACTTCCGGCACGCTTTATTATCCAGACGTTGTACCGCTCCCGACCCGAGCACGGAATACATTTTCCAGAGGATACTCGCGCGCTTATCTGATCACGGGATTTAATTGTTTCCGCGAGTCCGTCCTTTCCTCGTTCCCTCTTGGACGTCCCCTACTTCCTTTCCGAGGGAATCTCGCCGTTCCGATTATCCAATAGCGAATATCCAAACTTCCAAACATCCGCGAAAGAAAGAAAGAAAGAAGAATGAATGAACGAAAGAGAGAGAAACGCGTTGGATTTTTTTTCTTTTTTAATTTATTCTTAATTCGAGGCGCGCATCGTTGCCACGACGCGGCGGCAATCATTGCCACGAGTTAAACGAGTCTCGACGACCAGAATGTTGGAACGTTGGCGCAGATTTATTGGCTACGATAGGGGGGGAGATCATTGCGCAGAACAGTGGAATTTTCTAGGGAGAGAGACACGCACGAATGATGCTCGTCTGGGAACCATATATACGCGCGATTCATTCCCGATAACACGCTCGGCAAC